ACGTCTTCCTATCCAGGAGCATGGTACAGTCTTCCATTTTTGTAGGTCTCTTTTGGTTTCTTGTAGTCGTGTTTTGTAGTTTTCTTTGTATAAGTCCTTTGTTTCTCTGGTTACATTTATTCTTAGATATTTTATCCTTTGGGTGGCCAGAAATTTTTTTTAAATTTCACTTAAACCTACCTTTCTAACATTAAAAGTACACTGAGTTATTCTTAACTGGTAGAATATGGTGCTCAGGGGAGATGGTTTACTATCTGGATCTCTCTCTTCCCTCTCAATTAGCCCCATCACCTTGGTCTGTAGACTTGACCATTAACAAGCACTCTTTTTTGTTGCCTTGGCCTTGGCCGGTTGAAGCTTGCATTACCATTCGTAGATCTGTGTTGTAATTGCCCATTGAGTCTCTCACCTCTGTCTTCCTTCCCAATCCATCCTACTGTCAGCTGAATCTTTCAAAGTACATTCTTCTACCGGAGAATCATCCATGGACTGTTTTGTTTTTGTTTTTTTTTTATCTGCCAAATAAAGTTCTAACTCTTCATCCTGGCATTTAGAACTTGACCTACTTTGTTACTTTATTATTTCCTACTCTCTGATACATACCTACCTAGAGTATGTTGGGTAATTAGCTGCTCTGACCTTCCTGTCTTCTGTTTGATGTCCTCAGTGCTTGGGGATTGTTTCTGCCTCTTTTCCTTTTTAGCTTCCTAGCCAGTCTTTAAAGTCTGTCTTAAATGCTGTCATATCCACCCAATCAAGCATGATGTCTCTCCCCTTTTAGGACCCCAAATGATTCTGTAACTCTCTGGAATACTTAAGAGTTCCTCAGAATTTATTTGTTGATTTATGTTATCCCCTTACTTTTAGTGCCACATCCTTGAAGGAATCAAAAGTCACCTTACTTTCAATATTCCTGTCTGTGTTTTCTATAGGGACTTTAATATATTAAGATACCTGGATAAATAAATTTGCCACATTAAATTAAGAAATCTGATTCTGGCACTGCAGCTCGAAAGATTGGTTACAATTCACCCAGAGCACTGGCATTTAGGTATCTTCTTCTCTAAGCTCCACTATTAAATGTAGACTGGCCCTTTTCTGCTTCATAACTCCACACAGCAAAAAATCAAATACTATAATGAAACATGCAAAGACCTGGAGTTAGAAAACCAAAAGGGAAGAACACAATTAGCATTTGTCAAGCTGATAAGTCTCAACTTGCAATATTGAAGGGTTCTATGGACAAAATAAGGAGCTCTGGTAGCATAGTGGATACGAATTAGGCTGTGAACCTTAAGGTCAGAAGTTCAAAACTACCAGCTGTTCC